CAAAATTAGCTTTTATTTGATTTTTTAGATTTATACACAAAATACTAGTAAATTATCTGTATAATCCAATTTTTTAACAAAATTTAATAATATTCTAGAAATAAATTTTGCATGCCAGAGTGGCATCCCAGTATGCTATTTACCAAATAGCATGCAAGAATATTTTAGGCGTGCTAGGTTCCCCATCTAAAAAGTCGATACAATCATGTGATATTTGCCAACAAAGTTATTTATCCTAACCAACATGACGAAATGAAAAAGAAAAAATGTCGGACAATTTTATCTATAACACTTACCCTAATGTTAAACCCTCAAATAAATTTGAATCCCAATTTAATTAAATAAGTGAATTATATGATCGAACGACTTTAGATATTAACAGTTGCAAATTTATATTGCAAAAATCCTGTCCCTAACTAATAAATTTTTAAGCATTAAAAATTTAAGAGACTGTGAATACTATTTAATGAAAATTACGGTATTAAGTTCTGTTTCATAATGGCAAATCATATTGTCTTGTAATATATTCATCTTCATCAGATTTATTTTTAAAAATAGGTTAATATTTTTCTATTTTATTAATTTTTAATATTAGGACTGTCGAAACATACCTTCTGATGTAGCAGAAGCATCAATTGTTGAAGGTTCGAATTTCATGGTTCCGGATTCTATAAAATTGAAATAGAAAAATAGAATATAATAAAACTATAATAAATATTATCATTATACGTTCCTAGCTATTCAATTACCTAATATAGTTGTTTTATCAAGATGCCTTATATGCTCTTTTAAAAGGATTAGTTAAAAAAACAGCGGTTATTAGGAAAAAGCAAAAGCTTGAAATGAATAATAAGTTACCATTAGGTTCGTCTTTATTAAGGACTTGAAGATTAATACATAAAAATTATTAATAATTAAAATTTATGTACAAATGCTATCTCGATTAATAATAGAAAGGACATACCAGTCCTAAAATCTATGTCGCGGGTCATGCCACTATAAGAAACCAAGCTTGATCGATAATTAATTGAAGGAGAATTCACTGGTATAGGAAGATTCTGAAAACTAAAAGATCCACTCGTGTAAAAAGCAAGTGGATGCGTCTGCGTTACGGCTCTACTAGAAGTTTGACTACCTGGTTGTGGCATATTGTTATCAGAAGCCATGAATGCTAAACTTTCAGGAGTCTCTAATTTATCATAAAGATTCCAATACCAATTATCTAATATCTCAGACAATTTATCAGCTTTAGGACGGTTTCTAGGGTTTGCGTCCCAACAACGTCTCATCAATTGTACAAAAGGTTTAGGCGAATTTCTTTC